TCCCTACATTGTGCTCTAATTGGATGCTTCTGCCTTGTATTTTCTGTCTGAGTTTTACATGATTAGAATCAGGTGATAACTACACATAGATCTCTTTTTCAGAAAGGAATTTACATTTGTGCGTATAATTTTTTCTCTTCTTTCTCTTTTTACAGTGGGTGGTCCCTGAGGTGATTGGGCACGCTGTTGTAACAGTATTAATGCTTATTTCATTGCACTGGTTCATCTTTCTCCTTAATTTGCCAGTAGCAACATGGAATATATATAGGTAAGTGCGAGGAGTTTTGTGTGCCTTCTCCCCCCCCAGTTAGTAATGTAGCTTTAAGTGTAGTATAAAGATAAATAATATGTCACAATGAGATGTTTCAGCTGTGTTCTTGAGCTGCTAACAGTCTTCATGGATCTAACTAACATAAAACTCTCCTCTGCTTGCAATTAAAATTACAAGAAACCAAACAGCATAAAGGGTATGAAGCTTTTGGCCTTTCCGTGCATTCTCTCTGGTGCCCAGGAATCTTGATTTGTGAGTCATTCCCAAGTTCATAGGAAATAATAGCGTGTTAATTGGGATTATGAAGTAGTACTGCAGACACGGTTGTTAATGTTTTTCATGCTGTGCCTACATGCCCGATAGTGATAGCAGCATAGAAGTACTTAGGTCATGGTTGTAAAACCATCGAGCTGTGGTGTTGTGCCCTGCACCCTCCTTTGTTTACTGGCTTGTCTCTCCTCCTCATTTGCATTGTTTTTGGCCCCCCATCTTGTCTCTTTGCATTTGGAAAGGTTTGTAGACTTTCCATCATATGACAACTGTCAGTGTCGCTGGTCTTTGTATGCCGGGCCGTCCACCACTGTGAAATGGTTTACTTGTCAGTAGTGGTTTCCATGTGGCAGCGCTGGGGCTGCTGGTTCAAAAGTGTTCTTTTTACTTTGTATCACCTGATGTGCAGAGTATTGAACCTTTACAGGCGTTACGCTAATAAAAACTGGGTGTGGATTTGTCGCAAATCACTGTACTGCAGGAAGTCCAGAAGACCAAATGTTTCAGATATAGGTCTGAAAAGTTGGCTGTAATTCTTGATTGCCTGAACCTGCTATGGCTAACTATTTGCAGGGATGGGTTGAGTTGCTGGTAAAATTAAACACGAGGTTTCATAGCTCTCATTAAAAAGAAGTGGAGGATCCCTTTACGGATAACTTTGTTGTTCTGTGGCAAAATAACCATGCATTTATCACCTTTGTTTTCTATAAAACTGCTAGCAAAGCCTTCAAGTGTTTCTAAGCTGGAGTAACATGAGACAGTATAACTTGTATGCTTAATGAGCAAATGTTGCCTAAAATGCACACATACAGGTATAGTTTTGCTTGGCTACTCGTATGCACAACTCTGTTATACACAGTTGCACAAAATGACCAGTATCTCCTCTGGAATCTGCTGGCAAGCACGGAGTTTGCATTTAGAGTTTCATTTAGGTTAGACTATTTCTGCGGCAGACCCTAGAGAAAGAATTTTCTTTTAAGATTTCTTGTACTGGTTAGCTCTTTGCTGCTTCCTTTTGCTTACGTATGTTAACATTTAAAGTAGTCACTTGCTTTCCCTTCTAAACCTGGTCAGAGAGAATTCTAAAAGATACAGTCATTTCTGTTTCTACACTTCAGGCAATAAGCTTTCACTGCTGTTCTGAATTGACAGCTCTCATTTTATATTTGTCGTACATGGGGTAGACGTTCTCAATATATGAAAATCCAGGATTGTTTCCTCGATTTTAGATGTGCAGTGTAGGCAATAAATTAATATGACAATATGATACCTTGCCTGTCCTGCCACAAGAAGTCAAAAGTTAAGCCTGTATTGCTAATCCTGACTTCTTTCTGAGGATCGAGGAGTTTCACACACATCAGTAGCCTGGACTATCCCATCTCTCATGAAGGAGTTAGAGGTCTGCAAAAGCAAGTGTGTTGTTCAGCATTATAAAGGAAATCTGATAATTTGGGATAGAACTTACCTTTGACCCAGTGATCAATGGACAAAAGGTACGGTAGTCAGAAAAATAGCGGAGAGGAGGAAGTGTCAAAAACAGATTAGGTGGGAACAGATGAAGTGTGAACCTGTTCTCATGCGCTGCAAACTTCCAGCATCAGCTGAATGTGCTTGAATTTTCTTCATACATTATAGTATTTCAAGAACCATTTTCTGGAGAAAATGTTGCTGCACATGAATTCAGAAAGGTTTAAGATTATCATTCTACTCCAAGATGAGTACAGAAATCAAAATAGTTGTGTGGAGATTGAAGAAGTCTGTGCTTTGTAGTATATCTAAGTGATAATAGAGAGACAGGTAGGATGATAGTCCCTTGCCCTTACTTTCTTTCCTTCAAAACCTGTTTAATCTTGATGGTACAGTTACAGGCAGTACTGGCTTAATTTACTAATTGTCTCAGTCATTTCAGTGAGACTAGAGAGGTTTTGTGTGAAAGGGACATCAGAAACAAATCCCAGGGAGGATAAATTGGTCAAAACAGCATCGGGGAGACTTTCAAAGTTGCAGCATGTTTATTGTAACATCCTACTGTCCCTTCTTGTTCAGCATACTCAGATGCTAATTTAATTTGGTTTATTTTTTGCTGAATTTTGTAGTGTCTTATACAGTCTCCACTGAGACATAGTTTTGTCTTATATCGTCCTTGTTTTAAAACTAGAAATTGAAGCAGCTCATTTGAAATCTAAACATATTTCATAATAGATTTTTTTAGTTCTTAAATATTTCTAAGACCTGCTACTATGTAAAAAAAGAAAGAATTACAAAGGAAATGTTCAATGTGAGTAGACAAAAATAAAGCAACTCAAAATAAAAGTTGAACACTTCTCTTTCTTCTGTTATAAAGATGTGCTTGAGACTATAGGTCAAAAAATGTGATTCTTGTCATCTCTTTAAGTAGATCATACCCCTCTTAAAACTGAAGGAGTAAAAAAAAAAAAAGCTTTTTTTTAAAAAAAAGCAGCTTTAAAATACAGTGAAAATTCTGACCAAGACATCCACATCCCTTACAAAATTGTGTAATATAAATGAAAATGTCCGGTTGCTGTGGCAGGGGCTTCAACTGAATGGAGATAGTGGAGGCACTAATGTGTCTGTTCATTAAAGCTGACAGTTTTCTTGTTCTGTGTGGTTTTGCTGTAGAAATTTTCTGCTGTTTAGAGTACAACAACTGGCTTGAGTTGTGTTTGTCAGCATCTAGCATTGTTGTGTCCACGACTACAGTTCCTTAGATGTATAATTTAAGCTTTACTAGCTTGTGGGCCTCTTGGAAAAACTGCCTCCCAGGTTCTGCAAGCTTTAATTAAGTTGCATCATTTAAGTGTTACCACTCTTCTTAAAAAGGAAAATTAATAAATCCTAGAGATATAAGAAAACTATGCACTCTATTTCTGGGGTAAATTGGTCCAGGAAACTTGTGTTCTTCCTTGAAATGCATTTTATTGGAGTAATTTTCCAGTAAATGGACAATAATTGTGTTATCTTTCAAACTGTAATTATTTCACATGAACTATTTTTAATGGGACATAATTGTCTTTGTTATTAGCCAGATATGCTGCGGTGCTTTTTAATGCCTCTGTGAAAGACAAATATAGTGGTCTTAACTGTTTGAGTTTTTTTGTCTCCTGCTGCTGCTAGAAAACATCCGTGTTTCATGTTCTTTTTCTTCCCCCCCTATTAATGAAATGAATGTTGTAAGAGGTGGAGGAGTGCCTTTTGGAGTACAAGTGGTGCCATTTTTTCCACTATAGAAAGAAAATCAAAAAGTGTTCTGACACCTTGCTTTTGCTCCAGGTGTAAGACCAGGAGTAAAATTCCTGTGTAGAAAAGAGTATTATTCCGGGAAGGTAGAGCCTGTATGACATTTAAGTAGAATAACAATACTGTTCTAGACTGGTCTCAGCTGGAGTGAGAATTTCAGGGGCTTGCATTTGCTCTTTTGAGAAATGCTTGCGGCAAAAGACCATGCCGCTTGTTGAATTTTCACAGGACAAAACCATTTGCATTGCTGGTTTTATTCTTAATTTTGCTTCAATTTCACTTTGTTTCACTCAGCTTTTGTTCTTACATGGGTTTGGACAGCAGTACTGCTTCACTGCTGCCCAGTCTCTCATCCTGTCAGCCTCGGTGTCTCTGCTGAGATAACGCAGGATGGTTGTGACAAATAAACAGATCCTTTGTCTCCTCTTATGCTATCTCATTTTGACTACTGGAGTTTGTGATTATCTACATGGGGTTTTTTTTGCAATCAAATCACTAATTCGTAGCTAAATTAATTCTTTTCCGGTCCCTTTCATCTAATGCATCTTTCCGCTGTGGTTGGACATTTGCTTCATAACACCAAGTAACCACAGACTGCTATTAAAATGAACTGGAATCAGCTGTTACCTGGAAACTCTCCCATTTATACGTGGGAAGCTGGGCTGATGCTTTTAGTACTTCTTGTTCTCTTACTCTTTGTTTGTGGGTTGTAGTGACAGAGATACACGCAATTTCCTGAAACTCAAATAGAATTAAAAAAGAGCTCCCTTATGTTGAATTGTGAAACAGCTCTTTAGATGAAAGTCCCTCTGCGCAAGCTCTCCCCCTCCTGTTCTCCTGACACTCCCTAATGTTTTGGTGACTATACTTCTGTTGTTGTTTTGTGGTTTTTTTTCAACTTTCAGGTACATTATGGTGCCAAGTGGAAACATGGGGGTGTTTGATCCCACAGAGATCCATAACCGGGGGCAACTGAAATCACACATGAAGGAAGCCATGATTAAACTAGGCTTTCATCTGCTCTGTTTCTTCATGTACCTTTACAGGTTAGTTTCAAAAATTGCTCCCAGGCAGTCTGCCAGCTATTTTTATCTCCTCTATTCTGCTAGTAGTGTAACTACTGGTATTTGTAAGTGTTTTATCTTTTTGCATCTAGCTAAGCCTCAGTAATATATTTTGACAGTTATCTCCAGGCTTATTATATGCCTTTATTCTTTCTGATCAGACATTGTTTGGGAAGTCAGACTACTCCTTAATCTCAAACCCACTAGAAGTGCAATGTAAAGAGTTACATGATTTTAGCACATAAAATAATTGGCCAATTTAGAATGGAAATCAACTTGAGGACCAAGTTTATTTTACAAGTTCTGTTTTAGAAAATAAGGTTTATCTGCATAAGTTACAAACAGGTGAGTTCTGTGATGGGGCCACTTACTACAAGATGGAAGAACTACTGTTCTCCTACTGCAGTATTACTTCTGCAGTTCTTGTTTTCATAAGCAAAGCACATAGCATAGTTGCCTTGACTTTCAGAATGAAGTGCAGTTCTCTCATGAAAGCAAGAGCTGTTCCTACTTGCACACGCTTCAGTAATCCACTGGTATCATGTTTTCTGTTTTGTCACAGTATGATTCTGGCTTTGATAAATGATTGAGAAGTTGAAAAAGAACCATTAGCTGCCAAATTGGGTCATCACTCCAGTGACTGGGTGTGGAGCCACAGACACCTTCCGAACATACCTAGATCAGTGTCGTCATGCAGTATATTTTTCCTCTTTGAACAAGAAATATTTTTCTGTATTTTTAACATAAAATATTTTCAAAAGACATTGGATTTGTGTAGCAGTTGTTTTTGTTCCTTTACAATCCAAACTGCTGGAGCTGCTGCTTCTGTAAGGTGAAGTCCTTGCTTACAGAACTGATCACATAAGAATTAAATGGAGAGAAGGGAAACTCATTTCAGCAGCATGGGCTGATACTAGTGGTAGTTCCAGAACAAACTGAAGTGCAGCTCTGATGTCCGCTTCTTACTGAAAAGTGTCAGGATGTGCCTTTGACTGTCAAGCTGTCCTGTTAGAGCCTAGTTTGAAGCAGTGCTTGGAACATGGATTTTGAAGTGGAACAGTAGCGCAGCTTGCATCATTGTGTGGCTTTTCTAGCTAAAAAGCAACAGAATAAAAGTATGCTTTTCTCCCTTTCCACCCCTCCCTCCGACAACCTCTACGAAGTCTTGTGTTTCGATGGATTAAGGTCCCTTTGGTGAAAGTGACAATTGTGTGTAAGTGGAAAACAGATAAATAAGAAACATGATTAATACTTGTTTTTTCCCTTCAACTCCTGTTTCGTCATTGGAATACCTCATAGACCTCCATACAAAGTCAACATCATATTGCACCAGGGTTGGAGCTGGCTGCAGAGCAGAGGACTGTCTGCAGTCACTGCTCCATGAACCAGCTGTTTCCATATCTAGTTAGGTGAATCAGGAGTATGTCTAGCTCAGGGAGGTGGTCTGGTAAACCGTAACCCAGTTATCCCAATTCTGATACGACTCTGCTTCAAAGACACCAGCAAAAGTTCTTTTTGTGTAGCTCTTGTATCAGTGATAAGTATATAAACCTGAGTTTGTACCCTCATTGTCCAATAAGTGTCTCTAAATTTCTTATATGTGCATTGAAACAGTTTTTTTTGAAAAAAACACATGAAGTGAAACACCTTTAAAATACAGTTCTGAAATTAAGTCCTGAAATTTATGAGCTTTTCCTTCTTGAGTACTTGGTTTTTTGGTGTGTGGCTGCCATTAGCAGATTGTTTCCATGGCCAGCTGTGAAAAGACAACACTGAAACTTGATTTCTCTATCTACCTTGTGTTCACTGTTTATTCTAGGAAAAGCCTAGCTTTAAATTTATGATGGATGGAGTCCAAGTTCAGCTGTTGTGAAGATGAAAAACTGCTGAAAATTACACTCATTAAAAAAAATAAGTAGGGAAGTAGCTACCACAGCTGCGTGCCACTGACTACTTGACACCACAGAAATCAAACTACAGAATGTACTGCCTTATAAAGCTAAAACTCAGACAGAATGTTGGTCTAGAAAAAGGAGAGCAAGTAAAACTTTGAGAGAGAGCAAAGTCAGTAACTTTTGTAGCAGCTTACGTGGTAGGCAATTAAGTTATCTTATTTGTATGTGAAAAAAAAAACATACTACACATTTTGGGTTTTATCTACTAGAAGAAAGGGCAGCATTAGTAAGCTGCTCAAGTTAAGTCCTTGCTGTAGTGCTAACAGTAGATAAATTTTACACTGAGAAACAGGATCATTAGTCTGCACATCCACCACTTAAACTATCAGTTTTGTGTCTTACCTCAAAATCATGTCTTTAGAATAAGAGCTTTATTAATTGAAGTGTTCGTAAGGTACATTGCCTTCAATGACTTCTAACAACTAGCACCTCAGAATTACAGTGATGACATTAGATAGGGTAGACCCATTCTCTCATGGAATTAGTAAAATTTGTCACTTGCTAAGAAAAGCTTCTGTTCTTCTCTACTGAGGGAAGTGTTTCTTCAGAGACGGAAGTGGAACAGGAAAGGATAAGGGAAAAGAACAATGTATCTGGGGAAAAAAAAAATGGGGGTAGTGTTATGTCTCAGTTTATGTCCCTGGCCTAAACAGATATTATTGTCGATTCATCCCCACTTCCTTCCTCAAGGATCAATTATTAACCATGATAGACGAACAAAAAAAAAAGTACAGCTATGTTTTCTAAGTAGTGGTTGTCAAATATTAAATAAGCTACACTTTTATATGAATGCAAACTTCCCACCCTACTTTGATATTTATAAATATGCTGTTCGTTCTCATCTAAAAATGTGTTCTAATAGTTACAAAAAACCTCAGTAGCAGGCTCCAGAGACTACAATTCTGCTGAGTAATTACACTGGTAATTCTGAAGCTTTCCTTATAGTACAGGGTCATTTCGTGCCTTAACAGAGATCTTCACAGAGCTCAGCATCAACAATAGGAAAAATGTATTTGTAATTGCTAAAAATGTAGTTCATTAGCTGGAAAGAGGGATCCTACAGTCACCTCTCCTGGAGATCCACAGAAATTTTACAGTAGTAAAAATCAAAACAACCTCCCTACTTTCTGGGTCTCCATCAAGGGAGCACAGGGTAGTTCCAATCCAAGCTTACTATATTATAACTATAGGTTAAGCTATGACAAGAATTCAAGACAATTACAAACTTTAGACTGTCCTAAGATCAGTTCTACATGCAGGTTAACAATCAGCCTGAAATCCTGGTAAGTATAAAGTAAATCTTTATCTTTCTAGTGGCATAGCTTTATTCTAATGCTTTGTCTCAGAAGAGGCTCTCTAGGATTTTGTACAAATGCTAACTGAAGACCATTTTGCCTGTAAGGATATTACGATAATGATGAGATTGGAGGTGGCCACAGAAAAACGTAGGCTATGCTGACGACCATGCAGTTATCAGTACATTAATGTTTCTGCCAAAGATAAGGTGGTTAGAGGCATTAGGTGTGATCTAGCAACCCTCCTGCCAAGTGCTAGCACCCACAGGAGGCAGCATAGAGCAGCACGTGGAAAGGAATGAGGCATCCCTCTTCTGCGTGCAGCTGCATTTAAGCCATAATTATCTATACACTGCTTAAACTGTGAAGGAGGGAATAAAGTTAATACAAAGGTGCTACTAGAGGGAGTAAAGACATTTTCTAATCAATATAGAAGCTCAAAAAATTAAAAAATTGAATGCACTTCAGCAAAAGATTTGAATTTGGAAAAGCTACAGGAAGGAGAGGGTAAATTTTGGCACAGCTTTTTATTTAAAGAGAACATTAGCTAGAACTGAATAAAAATGCCTAAAATACATACAAAATGCAGGACAAAGATGAGGTTCTGTTTTAAGACACAGGGAAGATGGACAAGAACGCAGGGTTAGTTGGAGGGAACAAAGGCAACAGCTGAGAAGCAGCTTCAAGAGCTCTCGGCCACAAAAGCTGCTTAGGTTGACTTCAGACAGAAGTCTGGAGGTCCTTGATCTCCAGTTTAAGAGAAGTCTAAGCAGGAGATGCAAGTACCTTCTTAATATGACCTATCAAAAACCCCCACAAAACCCTCCGATCCCATAAAGCAACCTGTGTGGTATTTTGGCGAGCTCCAGCATCAAGTTACGAAGGCTTTCCTGGAGCCTCGAAGGAGCCAGGCGTTCAGCAAGTTAGGTGAGCACAGGAGGCGACACAGGCAAGTCGACTGCTGAAAGTGCAGTGAAAACAGAAGCGTGGGGTAGATTAGAGCAAAACATCACGAACTGGAAAGCCTGCACCTAACAGAGAGTGAATTCATCTTCAGCTAAGCTGCCACAAATTAATTTTCCTAAGCAGGAAATAAAGTACTGCAAACATGGAAGAAGCCTATGATTAATGATCAAGAAATTAACATCCAAGTCAGTCATATAAGTGAAGTTAGGGAAACTAAGAACTATTCATTCCAGTTATTTATTCTGTTTATTGAATTGAAAGAAAGGGAATACAAACATTTCTGTTAAGTGCTGTGCACCAACATGGAAAAAGTGTAATTTTTTTTTTTTAAAAATCCTAATAAAAACAAATCAGAAGTTAATGTAGTTCCAATTGAACATTTTTTAAAGATATGTTTAAAATACTACACATTTATAAAATAAAAAAGTTAAAACGGTGTTCTGTAAATAATTAGTAAAACAAGTGAAAATAAATACGAGACCCAAAGTTCTTATGTTTTTAATGTAATATAGCAAAGAAATTTTTAACTACTTAATATAATCCGAGGAGAGTAACAAAAATCCAGAAAGTTTAAGAACGCAATCCTTTGAAACATTTAATATCAGTCCATAGCAAATAGTCATTACATACCAAAAGCTCTAAGTGTTAACTAGTTCCACCACAACTCCATATAAATCTTGACAATTTAGAAATCTTGAGATCAACAATAAAGTTCTTTTCTTGATCTCTACAGCTTGGTTTGTAAGTACATACATGCTTTGAGGATCCATTTTGTCCCGCAAGTTTTCAAGGAGCCAATAACTTTTTCCATCTGTGCCTAAAAATGTTGAAGATTCAAATCTAGCACATATACCCTAACAATGAAAAATGTTTAAGAAAAAAGATGGGGCACAATGAATTTCAAATTTATAAAAATATACTGATATTAACCAAAACCTTCCGGTCAAAGGACACTTCACATACACACGACTTAAAGTATGCAATAAAACATGACAAGTACCTAGGACATTTGGTTCTCTGTCTGTTCATCGACCACACGCACACGCACATTCATACCAGATGGGAGGAACACTCTCACAGACGCTTTATTGAATCCAGATTATCTGGATTAATTGACAGAAAACTTGTCTACAGTTTATTTCAACAACTAGAGGCAGCTACTGCAGCAGTAGTTCAACACTGCACACTTCAATTAAGTCCACCCTGTTTAAAAAAAAGTGTTAACGATTTTTTTTCTTTCGAAACATCATTAGAAGTAGCAGTGTTCAAAATAAGGTATGGCAGCAGAAAATGAAAAAAAGCCAGTATGGAAAAGACAGGAGGAGGTCAAAAAGAGGATTAGCCATTTATGGGATGGGTGTTCTGAGTAGTTGTCTCCACAAAAAAAAAAGTCAGACACAAGTGTATTTTGTAGCTAAAAATATGGACAAACTATTGAAAGTGCATTTTTCCTCCTCCCCCTTGAGTTACAGTAGTTTGTCTCTTGGTCAGTAAATCCTGCTTTTCATGTTCATTCCTCCGTCTCTACCTCCCTCCCCATTTGGGTCTACAACGTCTCCCCTCAAACTAGGGCTAACTGTACGAGTCCTGGTATCCTGCTAAGGAAGCCTTCAAAATTGATTGTGGGTGGGAGCATCACTTAGCAGTGTAAGAGTATACAACTAGACACAAACTCCCAAGAACATACTGAGTTTTATTAAACATTACCTGTTTGAAGCCAAGTTGAGAAGTAACTGGCAAGATCTGGATAGATTTCTAGCTTGCATCTTTGCTCAAATCATAAAAACACTTTAGGAAATACAGAGGGAATTTAAAACAGAGGTATCATTTCCCCCCCACCCTCCCCTCTAAACCAAGGGCAGATCTAGCATTTTCCGCTTTGTGCTCCGTTGTGCCTTTGAAAATTACTTACCTGCACAGCTGAAGAACATTCAGATAATAAAAAGCTTCAGCATTTTTTTTTTTTTTAAAGATCTGCCTTGACAATAACCTGAGGCTACTGCAAGTATTTTAAGCCAACAGCTGACCAGAGAAAGTTACAAAAGGAGTACACACTTACAGTATTTGCCTCTCTAAAACGATAGGTCTGTTGACTAGAAATACAGGTATTTATTGTGGGTGTGTACTTGTTCCAGCCTTAGGCTCCAGCCTATAAACATTTTTAAGCACATGGAAATGAACATGTTGCAAATGAGCAAACACATTTAGTTCCCCCCCCATAGTCTCATTTTATAGTCTGTGCACAAAAAGTATTGGTACTTTTCAATTCACATATTGTGAATACATGACACGTTAGAAATAGTTCAGGTTCCTCTTTAATCTACAGGTTGGAATGGTAATCGTTACCACTGGATCTGTAATGTCAGTTCACTGGGGGACCAAGTAGTGTGGCGAAATGAAGACTCCTTTCACCCTTCTCTCGTCTTTGCCCATCACCCGTGAGCAGCAGACAGCCACGCGATACGCTGTCACTGAGACGCTCTGGAAGCGGTGCCATCTATACAGAGCTTTCCTTTACACTGCGTAGTTGCAGCATGAAACTAAAAGTGGAGATATTGGAACATGCGCTTCTCCCCAGCTTTTTCTCTAAACACCTGAAGTGTATTTTAGAGGTACAAACCAAGTCCAGAAGAGAAACCCCAGAATGGAGAGGCAGTATTTTGGCAAATGTACTAAGTTTAAATTTCTACAGTGCATGGCAGTGGACAGAGGCATCGGCCCATACACACCTACATGCAGCTTGTTCCAGGGAAGGAGTCTCACTTTGTTCAGATGTGGCCACCACATGAAAGATGCCTGTTGAAGTGCATATGAGACTTTAAATCTAAACTTGAGATTTGATCCAGCCTTCACCACCTGCCTGAAGTTCCCACTGAAGTCCCATGAGTATGAGGTAAGCAAGCAGTGCCAGACCATTGTATGAGACATCAAAACTAGGATTATTCTCCTTACTCTCCATAAATAGTATTTTGTCCGAAAATGTAAGTTCCAGAGTAAGACAATACTAGGGTAACTTCCAAAGATTCCTATACTGGCACTGTTTTTTAATTATACCATGTTTTAAACATATAAAAAGCTGTTTAAAATTTAAGTATTGAATTTTTATTTAAAACCCAAAGGTTTAGTTACTCAAGTTTGACCCTAGGAAGTTGTCCGTTTCCCTGCAACATTGATGCCACAGGAACATGACTGACTAATCTTACGCTATCTGAACCAGGAAGAGAAACCAACAGCTTCCTCTAAAACTAGCTAATGGAAGAAGGAACTGATTTGTAGTCGTAAGTTTACACACATATCTCCAGTACTGTGGAACAGGAATTCCTATCAAAGAAATTCACCTTAAAATTAAGACAAATGTACTAGATTGAAGATAAGAACATTAACTTCCTGCTTCATTTTGGAGGTGCTAAGAGAGGAGTACGTCAGATTTGGGGCTAGTCTCAACCAAAGTATCAGATTCTTAAATCACATTTAAGTTAACACACAAGGCAAGAAAAATAAAACCCACCAACTGATGGCTGGAATCTCAAAAAAAAAAAAAAATCTAACCTGCTAAACTTCACTTTGTTTTTCTGCGAAAGAAAAGAAGGGACTGTTTACATTCAACACCACATTCCTGTTCATCAAAGTGGCTACACTTCTCTTCCTAGGAACTCCAGCAAACCTTCCCCCATCCTTCTTCCACACATGACTAATAAGGACACTAGATTATTATCCCATTAAAGGATGAAGTCCACACTAATGTTCACATCAGTTCTTGGTGGCGTGCCTTTCCCTGCTCCCTTGTTACTTTACAGCAGCACCAACACTACCTTTCCACCCAAGGTGGCAAAAAGGAATCCAGTGGCATCCCATAATGAATTTGTGTGTAGTGCAGAAGCACAGAGATGCCAGGCCATCTATGTCAAAAAGAATAAATACTTAAATTGTAAATGTCTTTCTCTTTCCTTAACATGGGGTATTAGTGGAACTATTCCTAGATGTGTCAAGACGTTCACAGCACCAGCTTGCAACAAGGTCTTGGAGAGGCAATTAAATCTGCAGACTTAAAAGTATCTTCTCAAAATCTGTACATCTTTATCAAAGAAAGATTTCCATCGTAATACAAGTCTTTAATTACCATCTGTACATTAATTACTTTTACAAAATATTGACTTTGTGAAGAGAGGATTCAGTACATTCTTCCCTTGAGGTGTAGTCTACCTTTTACCAGCATTGTTGCATATATTTATGTGATTAAAAAAAAAAACCAAAAAGACCTTGTCTTGTTTAAACTCTTAGTCTGGGGGTGCACTCCAAATGTTTTAGGTTTGTTTTTTTTTTTCCTAAATATCTGTAAAGACAGACAGTGAGTTTCTCCTTCTAAAACAAGCTTCACTGCCTACGTAAAGCTTCCAGCCACTGCTTCCGATTGGGTCTCAAGACTCTCTGGAAAAGCATCAGTGATACCGTGTTTCAAGACACTTCTTGCATTATTTTAATTCCAAATGTATACAAATGAAGTCATTTTAATCCTATAAATAATTTATTTTAAAAAAATTGTGCTGTTAACCCCTTTGCAGGGCAACGAGCTATGTGAAAAGTACAAAACTTTTTGTCAAATGTGATACTGAGAGTGCTTTTGACATAGTTCATTGGTTTATCATCTCAATTTATATATACTGCGCAACGGGCAAGGCTAGAATCCATGAACCAAGCTGCAAAGATCTCAAGCTAAGTAAGGCGGAGAGAGACTTGAGAAACAAGAGAAGGAAATACTTTCCTATCCAATGTATACTCTTCAGACTAAAGCACTCTTTCTATCAAGCCTTCTAAACTGTTAAATAAAGTGTTCCAAACAAGCATTTAAACTTCATTACACAGAAGAGCAACAAGAACAGTAGCCTGCCAGACAAAAAGGCAGGAGGGAAAAATATATATACTGAGTTCAATGGTTAGCCTGAATGTAGCACAGTTCTTCACAACCGATGGGGGGGTAATTTCAACACGGTGTCCAACAACGTTCTAACGACGTGCTTCATCTCGACTGGTTACTATGAAGCAAGGTGGTAAATGTTTGGCCCCAACCGGGCTTCAGAAATGGTTCTTTTTCATGACGAGCATGTCTGTCCAGCTATCAATCATGTTTGTTTGCACCAAATCCCAAGCCATTTAAAATACGACTAATTAAGTTAAACTGAAGTCGTCTGCTCCAAATTCACCATCAACTATCCATGCTACTGCATTCCTCTGAGCAAAAACAAAAACATAAGAGAAAGAAATCACACCCTGAAGATCTTGTAAATAGTTCAGATTTCCATTATAAGGTTATTAATACAGTGTATTTACAGAAGTTTTACTGAACATGCATTAGTTAATGGATCTTATACTGTAACTGAATACCATGCTAAAAATGACTTATTTTAGATATTATTATTCATATTAATTTAGGGATTAAGTTAGCATGTTAGGTGTTGGTTCACAAAACGCGCCTCTTCGAAAAAGACATAACACACATTTGCATTCCAGTTCCAGGGGGACTGTGCCAATTACAAAGCTGTCTGTCATCTATTTAAGATTCCTAAGCTGTTACATATTATTCCGTGCACCTACACCTCTTGTGGAAGCACTGCTGTGAGAAATCCAGTCTCTATTTTTTGATTTTTATGGCATTTACTAGCTCATTTTCTGGAGATACTAAGAAAGAGTGAGCAAGCAGCTAATTGGAGAAAACAAACAAACAAAACCACGAGCAAAAACCAACTGGAGGATAGGCTCCGAATCCTTCTGGGTGCATTCAAGGTGTTACAAGCCGGAGATTGGCCAGGCTGGTCCACCTAGTCCAATACCAGACGCAGATGCGTCAGAAAGCACAGGAGCAGGAAGAGGAGGTAATTCTTCCTCCTAATATCCTTCCCACTTCCAGCCATTTTCACCTAAGGGACATTCTGAACTAGAGGTGTTTACTTATCGAGTAGCACTAATTTGATTTCTCTTCGATTACTTTGTCTGGGTTCCCCTGAACTCACGTCCACACCTAGTACCCACCAGGTCCCGTGGCAATGGGATATACTGTATTTAATTTTAATGTTTACTGTAAATGTTTACCACAAGGTTGGACGTGTAATGATAGAAGCCTATAAACCGCAGAACAACCTGTCAGCAGTCATCTCGTTAACAACTCTAGGGAGAGGTAAGAAGGGTTGGGAACATTGCATTGTGTCTCTCTCCTGGACACAGACTATTGCTGATAGCTAGATTTTACAGGGGGAATCTTCTCTCTCCAGACTTTGGAGATTCCTTTTGTAAGCACTGCAACACCATTATTCAATTTGCAGTGTGGTCAGAATGCATTATTTAAATTTTAGTAACACAGTTCGTTATTAAACCTCAAGCACTGGAGGGAAGATTTTTAAGAAGTCTACATACATAAGTTAATAAAATCCTGAGGTCTTGGGGACACCACAGTTAGCTATAGGCCCATGTCAGAAATTTGAGTATCATTTTGGAAATACCAGTTGTTTCCTTTTTATTCCACAAACATAAATAGCTTTTACTGAAAAAGAAGTCACTGTTTTCTTGTGTATGGCTGTTGATTTTTATCAAAGTAAGGATTCTAAGACAATAGTTAAAAGCATTTTTCTACCCTGTTTAAGGTAAAGAAAATCCACCAAACCAACTGCCTTTGATGTAAACTTTTAGTGATTAGAAAACAGACACACACACACACACACTCTGGTTTTTACCTTCAATATCCTGGCTGTCTACAAAAGGCGCTGGTCCCCATATTCTAACAGTGCCGTCATCAGAGGCGCTGGCCATCATGGATGGAATCTGCGGGTTCCAGCTCACACAATTAACAGTACGCGTGTGCCCTGTCAGCTCCGCAATTGGCAGCTCACTACGCTTGTGCCAAATATATACTTTGTGATCTAAATAAAATATGCATGTAAAAAATGTAATGAGAAGCACTGTTCTGCACAGACCACTGTCATCTCAAATAGCACTTACACACAAGCAACTAAAAAACCCACTAGTGTTGTGAAATCCATGTCTGCTGAATGCGCAACAGCACCCACAAAATTTTTCTTCTAAAAGCAATCAAAAGAATATGCGTAAAGCTCTTCCACCAAGAGGCACGTTCCCTTTTAAGATGTGCAAGCCTACTACGCTTGGTATTTGACAAAAAACATTTGACTGCAGTGCTGATAAGCAAATACATGGCTAGAGAGAAACCAAGCTACTCAAAGCTATGGAGCTGTAATGTTATTCAAAAGGAAGTCTTGTAGATTATTTTTCTTTCTTAAAGAATCATATTTACAGATTAGTACACACATTATGAAGTCATGAGTACTAAGGCAGAATATTTACAGCCACCACCTGTTGAGGAGTACTAGGTAAGATCACAGCTCTATAGTTTATGAAATACATCTTGATACTGAAGACCTAAAACATTCCAGTGAAAGTGCAAACAGAGCAAACGAGGGAGAGCAAAGCTTAAATGTCTCAAACTGTGAGCTGTTACTGTCTTTGACAACAATTAATTCTGCTGTGATATTTTAAGATATGAATTTGCACATATTGAAGTAGATGCAATAAAAAACCCCACAGGTCTTGTTTTGTGATACGAAGCTTTTAATTACTTGTAGCAACACGCTAGAAACAGAATAGTGAACTATTTGGACACTCCACTGCAATTTTGAAAGAAGTGTCACTGCTTTATAACCAACCATACTTAAGGATAAGTGACTAAAGGTGTTTTCAAAAGCCTCGTATTTAGGTCTAGAATATAAAATTAAAGTATTTTAGTCTATTTGGAAAGTTTCAATGTATATGTCATTCTGAAGGCTTAGTAAACAAACCAATCTTCCTCTCTTCCTCCTGCAACAAACTTGCTCTGACCTACCTGCTCGAATAGCATCATGGAACCATGAAGTAACTCAATTGTCTTCTGCTGAATCAGCTCATTTGAGTGCAACACCTTTATCTGTACTTGCATTGATGTGAATAGTCTGGTTGTGTTTACATTCCACTTACAATTTAAAGAGACTACATATCCACACTATTCATCAAACAACACAATTCACTCTGTGGACACACTGGACACACAAGTATCTGCTGTCTGGGACAATCAAAGCCTAAACACAAACTAGTATTTTGGTGCTTGTCAGAAGTCTTTATTTTGTTTTGGAAAAAACAAGTTAGCTAGATTAAGGCAGCAGTCAATTTGCCTCTCAGAAAGAGACCTCCATTTTCTTCCTAGAAAAAAGCCTACCTAGCTGACAACACACCTTAAGAGGTTATGACAATCAATCTATTACTTTTTTTTTTTAAAGGCTATGAAATGTGATCTGTTATTTTTGTTTGCTTGTTTTTTTAAGACACAGACTTTCTCAGTAGCCACCTCGGCAATAATTCAGTGCAAACAGGCAACAGCTTCAGACAGTCCAAATACAAATAGGATGCCATCAGTTTCAAGTACTGCTCTTTTTTTTCTGCAGTATCTACACATGCACATCAGTATGGCTTAACACAAATCCTGAACGTTCGGGTACTTGGGTCCCAAACTAAGAACCTTGTTCAACCAGGAAAAGGTTCACACTGGATTGGAGGTGCCGTCCTTCAGTCATTATATTCCACTGGCTCTGGTCAGAGGGTGAAATCTGGTTTTAATTTAGATATATTTGGTATTTTCCAGAAAAAAAGCCATGTCCTGGCCAACCTTATTTCCTAACAGCTATGAGTTATATAGTAGTAACAGTGATTGCTTACATATTCCAAGTGGAATTCTTAGCCCTGCATAGCTTTGAATCTTATGTGACCTCCATAGGAGGTGACGGCACTACATTAGTGACAGAACTGAACCAATTCAAGGTATAAACCAATAACTAATTTCTATTCTTGCCACAGACAGTTGAATAAAAACATACCACAAAGCCTCTGATCACCAAGAAACCCTACCGGACTGTGTCAACAACTGCTTAATTTGAGACTACTCCTTCATAATTAAGCTGACAACTCTACTGAAATTAAAATAACCTCACCACACCTGTATCTTCAGCAGCCAAATAAAGCTGTTACTCCCCAGAAATATTTTTGATTCAAACCATAAGCCTAAGTATCATACTACAAAAAGAAAAAGCCTCAAGAATACCCACCCACTTCTAATTAAGACTGTGCATACTTTTGCTTTAGAGGAGCAACAAAAAAAGATTCATTAATGCTTTCTACTACTACCATCCTCTCAAAACATGCTTTCTGCTAGCACACTATTTTTTGAAGAAGTATGCCTCAATCTCAGTGCTCCTCAAACTTCCTTAGTGAACCAGTTGCTTGCTTTTACAGATGACAGCTGCTAACATCATTATAGGAGTAAGGTGTAGGAACGATAGAGTGTTCCAGTTTTCTGCACAAACAGGAATGATGTTACCTTCGCTGCCACTTGCGATGAAATCTTCATTATGACCTCCAAAACACGAGTGAATTGTGTAAAATCCTTGCGTAACACCTTGATACTTTCTCACTAAAACTCTGTCTTGTAAGTCCCATAAGTGAACTCCCTGGGAATAAGTAGTATAAAGAATGTTATTTTATTATTAAACGTTATTCATTGCATTCTTTTGAAACACTAAAAGAAAAACGAAACATGATGAAAGTACATTTCTTCAGCCAACTTCAGTACTGTTAGTCGATCAAGAGAGTAAAGATATACCAAATTACTAGATTAAACTTCCAGTTTGTGGTCCCTTCCATTCTGAAAGCTCCTGTTCTTACCTAAGGCTCCAGGAGTAGGAATAAATAAAATCTAATTCTCACACCCCCAGACATGTCAATCTGCCACAATTCTTGCTGTACCTGGCTTCTGAATGCAACAGCCAGATATTAACATTTAATAGTACCTAATTCTTAGTATGAAACTCCTGACTATAAATCAGTCAAAAAAATAAATCAGTCTCAAGAATAAGACTGCCTTATTGTCAGACAATGCCATGCTATATTTATGAGTATTCAAGACCTCCATATTACATTAAATGCAACTGGTTAATATCAAACATTCCAATTTGCATCAAAATATTTAAAAACAGGTAACAGTTCCAAGTAGATTTATTTGCATTTCCATTTATCAGCACCAACTCACCTGAGTTGCTACATTTAACAAAGCTAAACGGCCATTTTTTGAAATAGTAAACGACATGATAGGGTGATCTTCTTGTACTCTGAAATGATAAAACACATCAGTGTTAAGAGTACACTTCACCAAACAGCGATGCAAAACCAAGACAACATTGCAGAGACAGGACATGCCTTTTATCAGGGAAAAACAGTTCTGAATTTGAAATTAGGTACGTGTCTATGTCAGTACAAGCCAGGTTTGCAATAGTTTGCTTATAGTTATGACAAATCCCAGTACCAAAAGGGACTTCAGACCTCAAATCCAACTCCTAACTTCGAGGCAGTGTCTACTAAAACATGCCAGGAATTGAGAAAACAACTCTTGATGACAGAAATGTCAAAACATCCACAAGAAACCTACCCCAGTGCTTAAGAAGTTATTTCTAATACTTGATCTAATGCTTCTTACTGCAACTGGAACTCACTAATTCTTTCCCCATGTTATTCTCCTCTTCTTTTAATACTGAGAGTATTTTAATAACTTATTTCCCATCCTGCCCCACAAACCCTTCCTCAATCTTCTTCTGACTGTAAGAAGCAGGAATACAAAACCAAAGAAAGAGGTAGTTACATGTTCCTGTCTGTAAGATCCTCAAAGTTATAACCCCGAATTCGCTGGTGTGTGTCCGACGCTAGAACAGTTTTCCCGTCACTCAAGCACCAAAGGCATTGTACTCTCACCCCTTCCCAGGAGTCAAGGAGATTACCATCTAAATCCTAATCAGACAAAAAAGAAAAAATTGAACTGTTAGTCTCAGATTTTTGAGGAGTCGACACACAAGTATCTTTTTCACCTTCTGTTCAGACAATTGCTACGGAAAGCAATCTTACCCTGTAAAAGAGTGGACTTGATGAATTAGGACTTGGTTGTCATAACTGAGGGCTTTTGTAAGTATCCGTCCTGGAGAGCTCAGAATCCCTTTCTTCACTTACTGTCTTGTGTGTGATATGTGCAATCTACGTCACGGAGCTAACCTTTGCAGTAAGTGAAGTTTGCATCCTGCACTATTATTCTGGGCACCAATTCAGATGACAAATAATCAAAAGAGTATGGGTGAGACTGTGGACCACCATGCAAAGTCAACACTAGTCAAGCAGTGAGGGTTTAAAATTTCTGTTTACACTAAGCAAAGACAGCATGCAAAAAACTAAGAGAGACATACTCAAAATTCTGTGGAATAAACAACATCTGTGGACAAAGGCACTACTTTTTATTAGTGTATTTTCTAGAGCAGCTAAGAAAAAAATTCCCAGCCCACAAATCCTCCTTTAGGCAGAAAAAAGATGCTGGAACCCTTTTAACTGCTACATACAGAAATGCTGCTGAAATACTAGCATTAATGCATTGCCTCTTTGAATTACAAAGGATCAGAAGTTTTTTTTTAGTGTACACACATGCAAAAACTGAAAAAAACCCACGAACCTCAGATACGACTGTGACAAAACTTTCATTTCTTGCTTTGTTTTCAATGGGACAGATACAGAGAACTTACACACTGATAGAACTGTCCACGCTGACCTCCCGTTACAAAACGCTTCCCATCAGGATTCCAGGCCACACTTGTTAAACTGTCTTCATGAGATTGGCTCATCTTTGTCCTCAGCTCCCCAGTCTGGAAAATAAACAAAAGCAACAAGGCCTTATACCAGAACCCTTTCCCCAAAAGGCATTGATAATTTTATCTGACATGCACAGCATTTGGAAGTGCATATATTTCAACACGTTCATTAAAAAAGCAACACAAACCTATGAACAACGCAATAAAAAGGCAGAACTACTTTAACATCTCCAGTGACCCTGGTCTTGATTTGGGACAATTTTTTCTGTCCCTCAAATCAGGAGGGATGGACTAGTCAGTGTGTCACACAATTGGATGATTACGATGAGAGATGGGAATTAAAAGAAGTTGGAAGAACACAGAACAGAGAGAAGAAATATGAAATGAAAGAAAAAAAAAAACCCCAAACATGGAAACCAAGGAGGCACGAGGAGACTAAAATAAAACAGAAACGACAAAATACTTTTTAGTAAGAAGTTGGGAGTATTAGAGTATTTAGAACATTTTCCTGAGCTGGAGATCTTCATGCCAAAATTTAGTTTTCATCCTTAGCTTATAATGCTACTGTTTCACAAGACAGAATGCCAACGAGTGGCTTATCGTTGTCAGAACAGTACGGGCTTCTCTATTCCCTTGTGCCAGCTCTAGTGCTCTTCACTGAGCCAATTTAGTCAATTAAACAAAAGAACAGTATTCCAAGGGTGAAAAAAGTGAACATTTTTGTTTTAAGAAACTAAATTAGTACAGAGTCCAAGGCAGCACAAAAAAGACTATATAGCCCGCAACTGAGGCAGAGGAAGCTTGGATAACAACTCAAGTGCTCATAAAAATCAACAGCAGAAAAGGACTTTCAATTTCATGTAGGAAATGGCAAAATGCCCTAGTGTCTGACTGAAAGATGAAGTTCTGAAATAATAAATTTAAGCCTCTGTGAATCTTCCACCAACATCACTAGGAAGATTACATAAAGTAAAAATCACTTATATCTTACTTTTGCTACTTGTTAAAATATTCAATGAGCAATTGCTCCCCTTAGACAATAATTCTGCACTGTCTCTTGATTAATTTACTGTTCTCTATAAGACCTCTCTAAGGTCCTGTGGATTTATGCCATCCCTTCTTAGAAATTATCAGCAACCAGATACACTAGAATTGCTGCACAGCCCCAGGCACTTACATTTCAACTCTGTACTCAGTCTGTACAGAGCTAAGACTAGAGTTTGTAAGCTGCCATAGTCTTTTTTTTCAGATTGAGGGGGGGCAGGGAGATCAGCGTCTCCACTTACATTCACACCTTTGGACAACAAGTGTGTGGAAATGACTTCTTTCATGCTTAAGATATCTAGATATTGGAAGAAAAGTAGTAAGATGACCACACAGTTTTATTTTTCACTCTTAAGTCACCACTTACTTGTACATTCCAGAGCCAAAGCTCAGAACAATCATCTGGGCCACAGGCAACAAGATAGTTGTCATCTGGACTCCAAGCAATATAAGAGACACCATATGCATGACCTTCTAACGTCTTAAGTAGTTTTAGCTGGTGAGTGTCCTGAAATGAGAGATTGTTGAGACAATGCAAATGAACTCCTACTAGATTTCACATACACAGCCTACCCAAGTACAGCATGGCAAGTTTGCTTCTTGCAACTTGGCACCTGCATTTTACAAGACGTATGAATAGGTTCTTACTGGAAACAGAGTTGTTAGTTTGCAGAGTAGGACCATAAAATGAAAGCTTCTACGTTTCAACATGCAAAACAAGAACACTTGCAGGTGATTTTGTTCTAATCTTCCGTGATTCTGAATGTGGAACTCAAAATAGTGTTGCATACAGAGTTGCATGTTACATTAGACTTGTTTTAGTATAGAAGATTTCTTTAGTGTCAAGTCTCTCTACCTCTACTGGAATATACAAGTACTATTACCCATATTTTACACAATTAAGCTACTTTCTTAAAAGTAAAGACATGCTGGAAGCCTGCTATAGTTAAACAGAGAACCAAAACCTTCGTGCACGCCAACAGGGAAAACCTCCAAGTGCCAATGTTTTTATGAACTTGAGCGTATCTTGTGTGCTGCTCGAGAAAGAAGTTCTAGAGAAAGATATTTTTAAAAGCTTCCTTGAGAGGTGTTCTTATTTCAGAAGTGTTGCCTACAGCAAGCTGTTGCATCTTTTCTGCCAGATTTAGTGAATGAAGCATACTTCCTTCACACAGAGTATCTTGTATCACCTTTATGCTACAACTGTTCTACTGCTACCTTGTCAGAGGAACTTGACTTTGAAGCAGCTTATCAAAATAAATAGCACAGCTAGATACTGTGAAACCACCATACACTTGCTTCCTAAATACAGAAACCTATTTCAATACAGTATTAGCACTGACTCTTCACAACAACATGCAAGTACAGAAAAATAGAACCAAGCTTGTTCAACTGTTGACAATAATGTTTGCGAAGCCTCTTGGAAAAGGGCAAGTGGATTCCCTCCCCACCCCCTGCATGGGGGATGTTTATACCTCCTACTCTTCTTCAAAAAAGAGAGTGACTCATTTGAAAATCTAGCTTGATTTCTCAAATTGTTCCTTCCCTTTCTTTTGTTTTAGTATTAATCAGCAAAGCACCTCTTGATTCTGAAGAGAAAGAACATGGTCAACAGAAAAAGAAAAATCACATGAAGGACTGTTTCCTGGGATCAGTTGCAAGGGATTTGATGATTCTCAGCCAGCCTGCAGCTTTGATGGTTCTGCTAGCTAGGAAAGCTAAATTCCTCAAAAAAAGCAAGCTAAGAAAAGTCTTCAAAGCACAGAGAAAGAGGGGCAAACCACAGAGAAAGACAGGCAAATGAATGGACCTCCTCAAGGCCCCTTTTCCATTCTAATCATTATTCCTGGTCTGCATTACACACTGCTGTGTCTGTAGCTAAACCAATCTGCAAGGAAATTGAGTCATGTCTGACATCATCTCTCATCCTGGAGCTTGTCTGCAACTGATGTATTTCTTTTTACATCAGGATTAAAGTACCCTGTCACTTCTGCATCACAGTTGAGACTCATAAAGAGCGAGATACATAGGATATTCCTCTTCTAATGACAGGACTCTCTGGCTGTTACCAGCTCTCATACTTCTCCTCAAATACAGCAAGAGTACTATATCACATTTTGCTCTAAAACAGCAGTCAGTGCTATTTCAGGAAAACACTCCCAAATTTAGTCAATCTGCTTCCCACCCACCACGAAAAGAAATCTCAGCACTTCTATCCCTTACATACAACTTCCAAGATTTTTGTTACATAGAAGAAACAACTATTCCGGTATCAGCTTCAGCCTGCAGTAGCTCAGCTTCTTGGCTGAACGGCAAAAAATCTGTCAACAGTTTTTAGGAAGCGCAAAAAAAGGAAGGTTTCTGTAAGGAAAAAGTCTTCTATCAAAGAAGCTGCATGCCAGACAAGGTGATGTGCCTACTCTGCTTATCCTTTGTACTCTAGAGATTCTGTCATACTTAGTACCAGTCAAAGAATTCATTCCACACGCAAACCTAGTTCACTCAAGACATTATTTAACTCTGCTGAATCTGTATAAGAACTTTGCAACGAACAAATGAAAATGTGAACAGAGGCACAGGTTAAAACAGCTTAGACATGTATTTGGGTTTTAGAAAATAAGAAATTCATAGTATGAAATGAAGAAAACCCATGGAAGCAGTGTCATTACACTTCAAGAGGGGTGGATCAAGAAAAGAAAGGGAGAAATGAAGGATTCTCAGACATGAAGCATGTAGAAAAAGAATACTATTGATTTGAAAGTGTTCTCCCACCACTTGCCCAGACAGAGTTGGACTGATGTTTCCCTGTAGTTGATATAAACAGATTAGAGTAATTCTAAATGCCTAAGCCTTGAAAACTTGATTAAACATAGTTCAAAAGACATTGTCAACTGCTACAGGAAATGTGAGAATCATGCTCTGGCAAATACAAAAACGAACCATTTGAGTTATGTGGCCGAATGTTATTTAGGCATCCACCTCCTTGAAAGGGTTTCAACTTTTCTTTTTTAAAGTACTCAAATACAGAAGATAAAACTCTACAAAGCTGCTTTCCCACTAATTAGTTATTAGAGATTTTGTTTCTTTACCAACGCTTGGGCAAAAGGGTTAGTCTAAAACACTCACAAAACAGTTATTTGGTTTGATTAACCAGGTATCAGCTAACAATTCACTATAAAATGTGCTAATCAAGATGTTTGGTACTAAAGCCCATCAATATAAAAGGACGATATGCCTCTACAACCAAGGGACAAATCAACAGCAAAAACATTTGATCCTTAATTTACTTAGAATTACTGTCTGTTAAAAACCCACAAACCAACAAACACAGAACATTTCCTAAATAAATTACAGAAGTCAGCTTATACTGCTATGCATCTCTTGGCCCAGAGCACACTGGGTCCAGTAACAAACAAACCACAACAGTTCTATGCCTGAAAAATACACATCACTTGCTGTTCAGGGGCTATAATAACTATGCACATGGAACAGGTTTTTAAGTTCTCCCATCTTCTTAATAGCAAAAAAAACTTATATTATGTGGCTTCCTAGCTTGTAGTTGAAGAGAAGGATTAAGTTCAGCTCTCAAATCCTACTGAAAGTCAGTCCAAAACTGCAAAAACCTTTCATCCTCCACTTAAACTACCAGCTTGCAGTTGTGTGGTTAAAAACTGTAAGAATATTACTTCTGATAGTATTTCACAAGCATTAACAACTTCAAATATTGTATACATATGTTCAAGTTTATCTTCAACTGTTATGAAATTTATGACCATACTTTCGTATCACTTCTACCAGTCAATGAAGAGTCTTAGACTCATTGCTTAAACTTTTCATTTACATAAGAATAGATATGGTTAGAAAAGATAAATCTTGTACCTGTAGGATAAGAGGAACAGCACCACATGTTAGTATCAAAACTTAACACCACAGTCTGTAAGAAAACAGCTGGGTATACTTCCATGTGTCAGTGGATTCTGACAAGCGTTTACACCTTCATCTCAAGCCAAGTCAAATCTTACAACAGCAACTAGCATGAAGCGATATACTGATACAACTTCAGTTTAGCACATATTACTTTATTTCTGAGTAATTAAGTGGTAAAACAGATATAATATTTAAATCCAAGTATACTAGTAGTAACAATAGAAAGGAGTTAGTCACACATCATAGATCAGAAGTACTCTTAGTAAGCGTGATTTAGAAGAAAGGTTCCTCATTGCCATGCACCTTCCACTCTCACCCAATGCTTCTCAAGGCCTTCAAGCTAAGAAGCTCCCCTGGAGCACCAGCAGGCTCTACCCCACGGTACTGGTTCAGAGCACACAAGAGTTCCTGCTCCAAAGCGGCCACCAGTTCAAGCCTGTTACACTCAGGTATCAGGTTTTCAAGGTGTCTCCTTCACTAACTTACACTGACTGATCTTCAGTCTTTTACATCCCAGAGAAATACCCTAGTTGGCAGGCTACAGTGCATGTTAGCCTGTCCTACAAACATCAAGCCATCCTAGCAAGAGAAAGCAGAGAGGGAATGGAAAGACAAGATGTACACATTTTAACACACGTTGCACACTTACTGGATCAACCTGCCATATAATAACAGTTGTGTCCTTAGATCCTGTTGCTAGTTTAGTGCCATCATTGGAGAATTTACAGAACCATACTTCATTACAGTGCTCCGTTAGTATCTGCTGTGTATAGCATGGGAACTGTTTCCTGGAAAAGAAAGGGATGTATTCGCAGGTTAATAAGAACGCAGTAAGAGATTTTTTTTTTTTTTTAAATCGAGCTAGTAAAGACTAAAACAAAAACTTATTTAAAAGCAAGACCAGAAAAATTAGAAAATTCCTCCCTTAACAGCTACTTCAGCGAAGTATAGAATGAAGTGCTTTATCTGGTAAAGTGCTCATACCACCAAGTGATCGTAACAACTTAGAACTACTGTTATTCCACTCACATTATAACTTGGAATAAAACCGACCTCATTAGGAGTGTAACAGCTTATTACTATATGCTTCTATGATGTAAAAAAAAATACTGGAGTCCAAACCTCTTTGAACCCTACGTGCAATGTTTTATTTACATGTGACATTATTCTAAGTACCTAACTCACTTCGCTGTATCTTACCAAATCTTCAGTAGTGATTCTTACATAGAAGTTGAGTAAAAGAATAGTATTACTTCTTTTCCCTGAATGTGATCTTGCACTAAGTTAGGTGTTTCTTTGCCTTCATTTTGTGCCAATTTTCACTTTCTTTGCAGAGTACCCCATACAGTATCTAAGCATAAGTAACATCATACCATTGTGGGCTTTCAACTTGAACTTCCTCACAAAATCTGTTATTTTGTAAAACATTAAGTGTTTATCAAACAAAATATTATATGATAAACTACTGAAGGAGAAGAGTCAAACATTTCTCTAGAGCTAGTATTTAATCTTCTAGTTACACACTGAAGAAAAGCTAACAGTCAAAATACTGTTAGGTAGGAACTGGAGACAAGTTTTATTTCATTTACAGCTTGCCCACTGTATAAGAATTTGAGAGATAAGCTAAAATAAATGTAGCCTTTTACAGCAGATGACTGCTTTCATAGGTAACACTGCAGTTAACTACGAGTTCATTGTTCAGATACACTAAAAGGCAGTCTAACCATGGACATTTTTTCCTTGAACTGCAGGGATCCTGAAGCGGTTTAGTCTTATGCTGAGTTTTTATGGTGCTCAGTGCAACAGGCAGACATAACTCTAATGGGACACAATGGTACTAATGTAACAACGACAGCTTCTGTGAACGTACAGTTGTATTTATCACTAGAGATGAACTGGCCTGGAAAAAAAACCCCAACCCTTACTTCCTTTAAATTTGTGTTTAAAAATGCAGTTCGGTGGTAGCCAGGCTGCCAGACATCTGAAAAACTACTTCTTACTAGAAGCTAGAAAAAAAAAAAAAAACTCTGCTTAATACAGTGTCTATATTCTCTCAATCTATTTTTTTTTACTAGAATATGCTTCCTACTCCATGCTTAAAGACTACTGAGCAACACTGAACAACCATACATCCTTTTTTTCCTGTCTTATGGCAGAGGAATATAAACAAAATGTACATATACATTTCTGTAGTTGGCTTCCTTGGGTACATCTGCTTACTCATTTAGACAGAAACACAAATCACTTCTGCTCCTGCTTTAAGCTGACCAGGAGCTGTTTAGTTGGCACTAGAACACCACTGAGCCCAAGGTAAAGAGCCCTACCCATGAAAGACGACCTCGGCTTCCTTGAAGCCTAGAGGGCGGTAGGCAAACCCTTACACAGCTAGGCCCACATACAGGA